TACTTCTTTATTTACTATTCTATGTTTTAAGAAAAATAAGTTTAAGAACTTATTTGTACGTATTAATAATGTATATACATATATAATGTATAATAATAGAAATGTGACTGTATTTTATAAATACTAGTTGACTAAACACAGCCAAGACAGGTCACTTTGTAAAGACTAAAGGTTAGTTTTATATTATTTGATACAGTAACATGAGTGCATGTGTGCCACAGCATTGTAACTTCTATATTGTTAGCCAGGCATGGCTGAAAGGTCAATATAATAAAATAATAAATATATATAAATTTATAATGTTATGAGATGAAAGCTATTGGTCTAAACATTTGTGTTTCAGTGTTATAATTTGTAGTCATTATAGAACGAAAAAGGCATAATTTATATTTATTTCCTAATTTTTATGGTGATTACAAGATTGGTCAAATCAACCAAACCCATACAGAGATTTGTTAGTGAAAATAAATAAAATATAAAGTTTTTTCTTAAGAACCGTTTGATAACTATCTGGATGCTATAAAGATTTTGCATGTAAAACTTTAAAATTTTCTTTAATCTTAAAATGAAAATTACTTTGCATGTTGGATAGACAACATACAAAAAGAAAAAGGCATGAGAAAAACATTACTTAACAAACCTTAAGGCTTAAAAAAAATTGATATTTTGCATAAGAAGTCCTTGTAATGTTTACTGATAATCTTCCAAATTTTTGAACATATGCTTACTAATTTAAAAATTATAGCATGAAAACTATAACAAGCACAAAATGGTTACAAGGTCAGTCCCAGGGACCAAGCCCTGCTGAAAGAGTTAATCTGCTAACACATTTGAAGAAAGAGTTAACTATCACATTTGGTTTGTACACTCTATGCATCAAGTGCACACCTAAGTACCAAGTTCAAATATTTAAGTAAATATAATTCTACTTCAACTTTTTTTACTTCAAAATATTTTTGATTGATATTTTAGCCTGTATAATATTTATTTAACAGAGAAAAATAAAACATGTTCCAACTTTAATTTCTGCACATCTCCCAAGAATCTTGCATATAATCAACTCATTTATTGATTCATTTTAAAGTTTTCCTGTATATCCCAAGATATACATTTATATTTGCAAAGAAACTATCATCCCATTGAAATATAATGATTATATTGTTCACATCATTTTTATTCTCTGGCAGTGGTTTTATTACTATAGCCCTATGTTAATAGCCTTTAGTGATGTTACAGCATATGGTCTGAATAATTACTAAAAAAGCTAAGCTTGAAAAATAGCTAGAGCCATTGGCTAAAAAAAATTATTGATAGAGGAGATTTTAATCTGCATTTATTCAATATAGAGCAAATAAAGTGGTTTTAGCAATTACATGGTAATCAACATACTAGCTACTCAACTTCTGTAGGGATGAATAGAAGATCTTAATGTAAAGTTTCAACATTTTGGAATAAACCATAGGTAATAGTTTTGTATGATATTATTTTCATTTCTGATAACTTTTTTCATGTTAAAATATATAAAAGCTATCATATTGAAAGGTCAGGTCATTAGCCACTGTCAAATCTCTGTTAATTTAGTGTGTACTATATGAAGTGCAGCCACAAGTAGTGACTTCTTCAATTGGCATTAAGTATCAAAAGATATATATTAATGTAGATGAATGAAGTTGAAACTGACTAGATGTATAAAGTGAAACTTTCTGATCAGTAATAAGTACAGTTTTTAAATTCTAATGAAGTATCTCTCATCTTTTCTAAACACTGTTTTGAAACAAAGTTTTGCAAATTTCACATACTAAAAAAATAGTAAGAAGAGTAAATTATATGAATTTTTTAAAGCATAAACTAGATACTAAAAAAGAAGTTTGTGCTAAGTTCCATGCAAAGTATTACTACTATAAGAATGGAAACAATAGGGGATAAAGGTAACATTCCTCCAGTCCAAGAAGGGTAATAAATCAGCAGTAACTGTATAATGCTGTAAGATTAGTCAGGTTTTCAGAAAGAATAAAAAACTTTAAGAGGCATTTCTTGTTAAAAGTTGGTAACAACTCTTTCTAAGACACTTTGAATATGCTGAATTCAAATAATCTTGTTACCAAACTATATTTTAACTCTTTTTAACCATCAAAATTACAAATCAAAATAGCTGCCATCATTTATGTGACAAAACTTATGTATTACAATAGCAATTTTGTTAAAGGTCAGTAACAACTGTTTTTAACATAATTTAGATCTGCCAAGTCCAACTATACTTGTCATCAAGCTGTAGATTAATTCTTTGTCACTCAGTATTAAAATAAATGAATGAAGCAAGCAGAGTAACATGTATAAGCTGTCGGGAATGCAAGTAGCTGCATCATTTTCATTTACATTGAAACCTTTGTAACCACAGTATGTTAAAATATCTCCCCAAATTTTCAGTAAACATATTAGTAAAATAAAGATTTCCTCATGAGGATAATAAACAAGGATTGATGTCTTGTCATCCTGTCATACTCTGTCAGATGTGAAATAGGTACATAGTTGTATTTGGATGGAACTAAGAGTTTTTGTCTTTCTCCAGGAAACTGATCAAGCAAGGAGATGAAGTGAAATAATTCCCAAACACGAGTTTGAGCTCTTTTGAATGATGATGATCAGTAGTTGATGTAGGAAGGGAAAGATTTCAATGCTAGCTTCTTCTGCCAGAAAATAGTAATGATTCCAGACTTTAGACGACTCCAAGTATTGCCTTGTTGAAGATTTTATAACTTGTCTCTTTTTTTTCCACTACAGACCTCATGAATTTGATGATATTTGTCTTCAGAAGCTATAAGGTCGTTAACTCCAGTTAGCTGAAGAGTAATTTTGCAGTCAAGTTCAGCAACCCTCATTATTTGTTCATTCATTCTCTAATTACAGAGATGAATGAATGAATGCACATTTTAACAAAACATAGAGTAGCCTCAGTTTGTAGATTTAATAGAACTGAAATATCACGTTTTGCATGCACTGGTATTTTTTTTAGGATCACTGTCCGTGGCCAGATCTGATAAACTAGTTACAGATGTTCTTGCATTCTTAAGCCTCTGGATTTTGCCTTTATCTGTGTATTGTGCTTTGTCATTTCTGTGTCACACCAATGACACAATATGCTCTGAATCAAAGATAAGACTCCATTCTGCCAGTGGTCTCTCTTATAGTTATTTTCTCATAACTGTTGCCTCCATCATTGTCTTTGGATCTTGTTCACCTGCTTCAAATTTAACTTTTTGACTTGATTCTTGGTGAATAATAATACAGAGACTTTAAGAAACTGACATAGGTCTTTTGTTTGAGACTAATTACAAGCTCCAACTGTTGACAAAAACTGCAACCACTGTAAATGCTAGATACCATCACCTTGTCTAACTACTGTTACTAAATCTATTGGAGAAAAATGCATTACACTTCATTGTTAATTCTACATTATCTATAAGTGCAAAAAAAAAGTCATGTAACATACTACTGTTACCTCTTCATTTATCAAAAACATTTGCTTAACTTTTCTCTGTCACTTTTATGGTTATGGAGAAAAACAATATATAAATAAGTATATTTATAAATTATTTAATTAATCATTTACAAAACAAATGAATAGATAATTACATACCTGTTTTTATTTTCATATTTATTGATTCCTTTTTTTTTTCAATATTTATGGCTATATATAAAACCACCATCATTTCCCAAGTTGAACAAAAAAATGCAGCCTGGCTAACTAATGAATGAATATTTGCTGTAAAATTTTGATCA